ATCCTTGCCTGTGCACAGCCGAGGTTCGTGGTGAAAATGGACCAGGCTTTAAGCCAAAGTTGTGATGATACCCCGAGGGAAGAAAGAAGTCGGAGCGGAGCCCTCTGGGAGTTTTGGAGACGTGCGCGCGCGTCGAGTCAGTAAAGTCATCTCAACCAGCGGTCGTGTGCAGTGCAGGCAAGCTGCGCGTCGTATGAGAGACAAGGCTGGCTTTCCTCATTCAACATTCGGCGCTCCGGCACTCCACTTGAGGAGCCGCTTATATAACTGAACCACGAACGGTTCAGAGACCTGGTAAAAGGGTCTCGGAAAAGGGGACAACGGCCCCTTCGATTACCTGCTAGCCTTGGTTCTTCCCATGCCAGTTTAGCTTGTAAATCTTGTAGATTGCTTACGCCAAAACGCCGGCAGTGCCGGCGCTGCCGTGAGTAAAGTGGTAAAAGTTGGTGGTAAAGGTGAGCATACAGCGGAAGCAGATTCGCCTAGACAAGCCCATTGGTGCTGGATAATGCACAGTGTGCGAACAGGACGTTCAGAGGTCGAGAGGAGATTGTGGCCTCGTTGTCTTAGTGATGCTGCTGCTGCTGCTACCAGTAGTCGGCCGCTATTTAAGCAGCTTCTGATGCTATGATGGAAACAGAGCGGGTGCTGGATACTTTCGGCGTCCAGACTGGCTTCCACTCGACTCCGCCTTGTAGCACACTACAAAATGCTTTGCACAGTACTTGAGTTGTTCAAAAAATGATTAATAACTCTATAGAAGGCCCAAATGCTCTTTCACGCCCCTGTTCCCTTACCCATATGTAGTGGAAAAGCGAGTGGAAAGCATCGTGGGTTCGCATCGCAGGCAAAAGATGTACGCATGCTCTACCATATCTGATGCATGAGCGATGTTGTTGTTGTGATCAGGACTATGCTTTCTGGCCGTACTTTGGGTTTTTAGAAAATAGCCTACCCAGGATGTCGACCACTACCATATTATGCGATTCTCCTTATCCGGTTCAGAAGGTATAACTGATTCGAGAGCAGTTACCATAATTTTAGTGGGAGATATGCGGATTTCGTTAATTATAAGTAGTGAATACGCATAAGGCCGCGCTGTGGAGACCTAGTGCTGCTGGACGATCATGTAGTATGCGGAGAATGAAGTAGCGTTTATCTCCGTACCGCTTCCAGAGGTAAATTTATTTAGATTTAGCCATGTTCAGTCGTTAGCCTCTGGTTGTTATTAGTCGGTCAACATTTCTACCGCTCCGTGTTTGAAAAGCGAGAGAAAAATCCGAGAGAGGTGCTGTCTGGGCCGACGTCTCCTCTACCCTACTAGCCAATTTCCGCTTTGATGCGGAGGCACGTCGATGCAGCGTCGTGGGCAAGCCAGTGGGGCCTGTCTCAACTGTATGGTGCAGAGCGTCCAGGCAGAGCCCGGCTAGCATTTCCCTAGTCAGTTTTCCCCTCTCGCTCTCCTGGCTGATTTTTCTTGCTTGCGGAGAGGAAAAGTACTACAAGAGTAAAGCGAGTTCCTGTCTCTCTGTTCAGCATACGACGGGTAGTGCTAGCATTTTTGTAGTGGGAAATTTAGCATGAGTACTTATTCGAGGTGAGACGGCCGCGGTATCAACTGATTGAAAGAAGAGTGTCCGGAACGACTAGCGCACCCTGCCATTAGCTAGCACTAGCTGGCCGACCTGCGCTCGCCAATCCACGTGCGGCACTAAAGTGGGACCATCCGCCATACGAGACTCCAATCAGCACAGGCCGCAAGACCGAACTCCGGACTTCTCAATCACCCCTAAAAATCCAGCCCACTTTTTCTCTACCCGCCGTTTCCCGTCGGTTCTTCCTCACTGTAAGTCGTGTTACTCTACAATCGGAAAACGGGTATCGACGCGCTGCACGAACTTGGCATCGGCGGATTACACAAGCATGAAGAATCGAAACCAGCACGGCGTATCAGTGGCAGAAACCTGGTAGAGAGACCGTCGAACCATTGCGCCCCTGAACTACTGACTCTCAAAGAAACTACTATAGGAAATTGCCCAAAGAAATACCTCACTTCCTCCTTTTCATCCAGCCGGATATCGGCCAACCGTCGAAATACGCGCAGCCCCGACTAAAGAAGTCACTACTCAAAAAAGGTTGAGTGCTTATTCTATTCAGACGTGAGATGGACTACAGGCGTTGGGTGCTCTCGCGCACTTTCAAGTTCCATTAGAGCGTGGCACTGGTACTATCCAGTAGACTTGACAGCTGGGTGACGTAAATAAATGGAATAGAACGTCGTCGTTGTTAATAAAAGTAGAAACCGTTTACAGAGTTGTTAACAAACGATTGGAGCAAAATTAGAAGAGGGGGTAAGGCGATTTCTAGCGTTGCCAGAGTAAATTAAAAATTGAATGTCAGGTATTATGTTCAATTGCTGGCGCCGATATTCCAGACATCTAAATGTACTCCACATGTATTTGTAATATTCGTAGGCTGGCGCGTGTTGTCATGGGACCGTGAAGAAATTTGTCCGCGATAATATCGGTATAGAGTACGTCACTACTAATGTTCTGGCATTACTTCTATTGAAAGAAGGTATCACAAAGCACAGAGGAATATGAAATCTGTGGTTGCGCTTTGCTTAATCTTATAAAATTAGTTTTGTCTCAAATTGAAACAGCTACGATGCTCTGCGTGCCTTCAGATCACCTACTAATTAAAGCTAGACATTTAGAATTTTGCGTTATATACGGCCGCTGGCTCTTTTCAGTATGAAACAATGCGTATCTGCGCTCGGTTTCGGACCTGGATCATCCCAAGTGTCTCAAAGGTTTAACAAACAAACAGATCACCATTACAATATCACAATCTAGTTTTTTTTTTAGTTTTAGTTAAGAATCGTGTACGCGTGGTCAGATAAGCGTGGGCTAAGATATGCCTGCAGCAGATTTGGGCGTCACACTGTCAAGCGACCAGACTGAGAAGCAAGATGTGCCCAAGTGCTGAAAAAGGAGATATCTAAGTAGCAGAATCACGGTGCCCATGTATGACTAAGCATCTGAATGGAGCAGTCTGCTAAGGCTAACTGCAAAAAGGTATGGCCATGGAAGCGAATAGTCGCGGAGCGTCAAAGCAGCATTCTGCTGGAAACTGCAGAAGCTAGCGAGCGTCTGTTCCTGTTTCTGTTGCTACCATTGCAGCATATCACTAATATATAGGAGCGTGGTTTTTTACTTACTACAGACTATACGCATAAAAGGAATTATTACAATTAAGGGGATATGTACTACGTATAGTTCTATATTCCACACGCAATTGCGTTTTTTGCTAACTACATACAGACAGGGTCACCAGGAGAAACAGGAGTTGAATGAGAGATACGCAGTCGTTTTCCCAGCATACCTTTTTACCTATTGTAGCAATGTGCCCATATTTAATTACTGATTCGTTAGCTAGTCTGAGGTATCAATAAGTGCATACGTTACAAGCAACGAAGCGAGCTATGCGGCTAATACTTAGAGGTTGCTGTGTCGGCTACTATACGACGTTGCTTTAGTAATAGATAGCATCTCGTCAGCTGGCTACTTGCAAAGACATTTGCCTTTGAACGCTCAGGCTCGGCCTGCGAACGCCGGTGCATGTTCGCCCTTTCCTAACAAACGTCTACATGAACGCCCTTAGTAATAAGCTGCCTGATCGAGAAGTGTTCAGCTTATTAATTTATATAGTCATTTTATTTTGGTGGCACTGCTGAGACAATATGTGTCAAGTCCAACTTTCGTTTCCTAACTTCACAGTATACGTACACTCGCAGCAAACTCGAGCGGGCGTGATACGTTTTTTTTTTCATTTTAATTTTATCTAAAAGCTAAGTGACCTACGCAATGGTGAACCTCTATTTGCTTCTATGCCTTCTTTGCTATTCATGGAATCGATATTTTTTTAGCATTTATAACAATAGGGATAGCATTATGCTTAAAGTACATTAAAACACTTCGCACCTACGTGCGGATCATATTATCATTATTACTAGTATCGTTATTTCAATTTCTAGATTGTTGACCACTATCACCTAAGATCAACTTAGCTGCCCTTAATCGATTAGATTTTTCTTTGCCTATCCCGTGAATTTTGCTCTTGCGAAAAATCTTATAATGATGATGACCAGCTGCTACAGCAGAGATCTGCGTTCTCTTGACCGGTTTCAGAGCTTTCACCTTCCATCTGTCAAATTAGCAGGAGATTCGCGAATGATTGCAATAAAAAGTGGACGTACTAGTTAGTATGTTGACCACTAGCTTTTTTTCTATCTATTTTACCCGTACTATTCGTTCACTGCTGTAATCGTCATTCGGACTTTGGGACATCCATATCTACTTATATCATTACGACGAACGTACCGCTTTTTCGTCCAGATTTTGCAAGGATGCAGGCTCACGCTTAGTGGTGAGGCCTGTCTCAAAAAAGGCCTGTCTTCCAGAAAAAGGAAATCGCATTTTTATTATTTAAATTTGTTGGTCAGCGATACTACAGAGACAAAAATAAATCATGATCAATGTTTCCAGATATTGTTCATTCACACTTAAAGTAGGTAAAGCGGGTCCCGGTACGACAGATTCGCGGGTTGCCGCATATCTGCATCAGAATCATAACGGACAAATCGGACGATGGCAAGCGACTGAGCGTCAACTGATTACTGTTTACGCCACTTTCTTAAGGCTTACCTGGATAAGCATCGAACTAACGGTATAGACTGGCTGCCTGTCTGATTAATAGAGATGATAAAGAAGAATGAAGAAATTCACTCGACCGGAGACATTAAGTGCAGTTGGCCCATGGGCTTCATCCATAGCCTTTCAAATATTGTAGTGATGGTGGAAATGAATTTAGTGCCTTCTATATCTGCAACATACAAAAGTAAGTAGCTCACGCTGTCGGTAGTGAACCATTTCGTGTAATTACGAATAGAAGCTTTGTGGAAAGCAAACTTGTCTCAACGCTAGGATCGTTTGTTCCAGACGAGAGAACACGTACTCATTCGTCGTGATCACGCAAAAACATCCGAATGTTATGCAGTACAAGGAAACGCCGTCACCTCTTCGAGGGAATTGGACTCTGGACCAAGCATATGCCGAGCTTAGTGGCGATACGCCATTATATTCAGTGTTCCGGATTGATGGAGAACCAGTTCCCTGCCCATTCAGGTAAAATCTCACTTAAACATAAAAGTAGTACTAAACGCAATATAGCCAGTTAATCATTTTCTATTTATGTGCTCATCCTGTATATATAGATAAAATGTTTAATGTGATCTTATTACTTAGTGCGTATACCATTTCGTGTAATTTCACAATCATCACTTAAAAGCCACAAAAGGACCAGGGAAAAACGAGCATAGAGAAATCATTCTCTGAGGCTGATGGTTGCCGATTGTGTGCTAACAATAAACACAAATGTTGGAACGTTTCCCTCCTGGTTAATCATATCCTGTATGTGGATGTATTTGTGCTGTTCAATTTTTAGGGACACGTTTCTCTTTTCGTATAACCGCGGTAACGGAAACTGCTCAAACCCGCCCTCGGTGAGCGATTCGTGTACCGATAAAGGCCGTGTCTTATTCAAATTCAAGGCGTGTTACGACACGCACTCCGAGAGTCGCAAAGAAACGCTAACCTGTGTCGGTACGTGGAAAGAAGGGAGTCATCACTACCTTGTTGGCAAGGTATGTATACATACGAGAAATAAAATTGGAGAGGTATATCTTCATGATAACTAAGCCGTACTAACTTACCAATCAACTATTTTCACGCAGGTGTACAGTTATGGAGTGTAATTTTGCAGAAACATCGTGCATCCTATTATTGTTGTTTAATTTAGTTTACTCACTTACGCGAACTATTTTATTTCATTAGAGTATTCACGTTGCGTTCGATGCAGACTTTTTAATTTACTACTGATACGCAATATGTGTCATAATCCATCTGCGGTCTTCATTTCTTTTTTTGGTCGTTGTCTATTTGTCATTCGCTCACTCTTGACCCCTGATGTTTATCTGGTACTACTTTCCGTACTCGCTTCATGAGCAGCTATGTTGAGCGCAAGTTGACGATTCCGAGCATTGCATGTATTTATTCCGTTATCGATTATCTTTATGGTGATAACAGACAGACTGGATAACAACGAACACCTAAATCATTTACCAGTCGTATTGTTAGGAACGTTAAACCGATCTACGGCACGCGACGCTAAAAGACATCAAATGGTCTGCCTTAGGTCTCTTCTTTGCCTCCACTTTCCCATTGGCTTTAGCTCGATCATGTTTAATCTGTGTGTTCTTAGTACAAGCGTTCAATCTTAGGCTGATTCCTAGGCATCGGCTGACTCGACGGCACACTGCAGTCGGATGTTTCTAGGTTACATTTGTTACCTTCGCCTAAAGTCGATTTTGGCTCTTACCCTTGGTTCGCCATCCAAATTGAACAAAGTTCTTTCCTCTTGTTTCGTTGGTGTTACTTTTTTGCTTATAGCCTCTTTTAGAAAATTTCTTCAAGGTTTTCTCTTCACCATCCTTCCGTCGCTGTGATTTTCTAACCTAGTCGTATTTTTTTTTCGACCTTCGCCTCTTGCGGTTTCGCCCACGAGTTGAGTGGGACCTTAAGAACTTCAGACTTCTGTATTCCTCCTTCAGAAATAGGAATACAACAAAGGTGTTGCCGCTTAAGCCGCTATTGATTCGGTATTGTCCCTCTGTTATGGAATAACGACTGGAGGGGACAGATGGTACTTTTAGGTAGGCTCCGCTCGAAACCGCTGGGGTGAGGGCGTTATCTAGGCTTGTTTCTAGACGTCCGTGGATATCTGTCTGTACTTCTCAGGATATAAATTTCTTAATATCGAATATCAGTTCTCAAACCCCTTGCTGATGGAATGATACTATGTGAACTCTCTAAAAACTACTGGATAATCTGCAATAGTAACATATTTCCTGTAAATGTATAGTAGTTTAAATAGTTATGTAAGTCGAAAGCACTACTAAATTAGTCACTGAGCCTTAATTATATTTTATATTACCTGCGCAATTCAGAACTGGTTCATAATTTTATACACTGTAGAAATCTACCTAGCACGTATAATGATATCAAATCTGTACTTATTTCGCTAACCCCTTATCTGCCCCAATCTCAGACTCACATTATTGCAATAGATCTCCCCATAAGCCCCTACGAGGTATAAAGGAAGATAGGAGGTCGTCCACGGCACCCTGCCATGTCGTGACGCTATCATTTTATGTATCTCAACGGCAGTCGAGAATTCGTACATGCCCCGTCAGCTTCATGGACGGCTGCTATGTACCAGCATTGCAATACTCGTAATAAGAAAGCAGCATACATCCACCTGTATTATATATATATGCACGGGTCTATATCACCGCAACCACCACCGTACCTTTTGCCCGTTGCGTCGTTCTGCTGCCAAACAGTCGTTGTTGTTGTGTACCGCGATGAGGAAAGCGCCGTATGTGCTGTAATTACCATGGTTCGTGACGCCGCCATTGCTGCCGAGCGAAACAGATCCCGGCGGTTACACCATAGTCAAAAGCATCGTAAGCACGGGTAGCACGTTCAACTTCATTCAACCGGTCCACATCAGACTACCGCACGCCGCTACTAACAGTGAAAGCTTCGCTGAGGTCGCGCCACGTCCAGGTCGTTCATCTCTCTCCGTTGCTGTCTAAGGTTCATATGTCTATTCGCATCAACTCATCCGATCATCAGGTAGCATCAGACCATAGAGAGGGGGCAAACACAAAGGAAGATAGCAAGGTGGGCTGGAGATGAACAGGCCTGCTCATCTATGTTGCCCCACCGAAAGTAACAGTTTGCTTGTGGGACGACGACAACGACAACGCTAACGACAACAACGACGAGAAACTATGGTCCCCACGGCAACGATGGCAGTCCAACGAATGCCGCAGGAACAGCAAACAAGGAAATAGTGGATGATGGTGGCGGATGTGTAGGTGAGGGGGCGGTCTAAGGGACGGGGAAATATGGATGGGGTTGATGTGAACGAATTTAGTTAACGTGGCCGAAGGGGAACAACCTGGCGAATCAACGTTTATGCCGATGAAACCGGTTGTGGGCGTTCCGCCGTTCAGTCTGAAGTAAAGTTCGTCGTATTTCACATATTAGCTTGAGAGGTGGCAGCGGGGTTCGAGGGATTTTCCCGCCGCGGAGGGGGGGGGGGTCGGTCGTCTCCTGCTTCAGTGGGTTCTTCCCCACCCTACTATATCACAATGCGACACCGGAGAGCACGTGGGCGAGACATGCATTGCGTCAACTGTGTGTTCCTGTCTCTGTATGCTTCAATTGGATAAAAGCTGGGTAGGCAAAATCGCTGTCGAAGTTGGTCATCGGTTCAATGTTGTCCGGCCTCGATTCGGAAAATAGCGTTGTTACACTTAGTTCTCGTGCGTATCCAGTACCTGGCGAGGCTCAAGTTGTGGAGAATACCGTTAACCGATCGAAGGACCACACTTTTACGCTACTTGTAAAAGGGTGAGTTTAAGGTCTCAGGTGGCGCCAAATAGCGCATTGAACTAAGAAATAGTAACGCATCAATGTTGTAACAATTACAAGACACGAAAACGCCGAATGTGTTATGTAGAAAAGATGACATGGCCAGAACGATCTGGTCAGGATGGAAAATATATAAAAGAAAGGAGTATTTAGATGCAGAAAGGATTTCAGAGAAATTCAGAGAATAATCGAACTCCTCAATGTTCATGTGCTTACCCCACTTTACTGCTGGAAGTGTCGAAGCCTTAGACAACCTGTGCGCTTCAGCGCCTCATCACGGCCATTGCGAGGAGACGTTCGGAACACGATGAAACAGAAAGTATTTTGAAGGACTTGGCTCTAGAGAGGCGAGAGCAGACTTTTTTTTTACTAACAGGGCGTTAACAGCAGGCGATGAGTCAGGGCAGATCAACAGAGAGAAAAGTGGCAGAGCCATTGGACAAAAAGGAGCGAGTTAGCCCCGAGGGGCATCATCGAGAGCAAGGCGGTTGGCCGTTCTCTAGTCCGAAGAGCAGTTCCGCCTAACCGACCTGGCACCGTGGGGGTAATGGACGGAGACTGGGGGAGAAGCAGAGAGCTTTGGTGTAGGGAAGAAAAGGATTGAGGAAAATGAAAAGAACATGGATAATTCAGTACTCTGTCGTCGTCTTTGCCGTCGCCGTCACGTCCCGCTTTTCATGCGTTAAGCAATATAGAAGAGCGAGGCAAAAGCTCGCAAGAGCGAGCAAACTTAGTCAATGACAAGATCAAGAATGAAAATAATCCCGTTCTGTTCCGGCTAAAGTTACCGAACAAAAGACTGGCCAGCCAACAGGTGTAGATACTACTAACACATGCTCGTCAACAGCAATAGGTACACGTAACGAGGATCTTGATCCTTAGGTGGAAAGCCGAGAAGCCTGCTATTCGAAGTATATACATATGAAAGACAAGTTCGTTTACTTACCATACATAATTGTCAGTTGACGACGACGGCGACGTCTCGTTTGTAACAGGCCCATTGATACTAATTTACAACATTATTTGTTAAGCACGATTAGAGATAGGAAAATAGAAAAAAAGAAGTGAAGTATATCTACAATATGTAAAGTGAATCATTTTCCGAAGAAAAAACAAATAAGAAAGTATTTCGTCTGTAACAAAACACCGGTCGGTTTTAGGACTGAATGGCTCGAGTGATTTGAGGAGCATGGCACTATTCGTCTACTAGCTAAGCACCTGGAAAAACGTCTATATTTACATTTTGTATCTTAATATAAATCTTTTACAGCCGAGCTGGGGTAGTTACTATGCTTCTAGACTGTCATCGGTTCATCTATACACATAAACACAAATTTTTCTACAAGCAAGATGTGTATGTAATGATTTTGCTATATTAACTCAGTTTAGTAAGTAGATTCTATCGCCAGAACTGTTTGTTTAGGTTTTCCCTCTGGAGATCCTCCAACCGCCTCTGCCCAAATTTTACGCTGTATTGAGCCTTGATTCGAGTGCAAAAGCGACTGGGGGCATTGGAGCTTCAGTCTTTGGAAGATGAAGGCTTGCGGACGTGACTGCGTAACTTTATCGTTGACTCAGTCTTGCCTGACTTTTGGGGGCCAGTTGGCAAAGGCCTAAATGAACAACTGCAACGTATTTCTCGCCTGACGACACAGTAAAAAAATGTGCCATTTCTAGCTTTGCTTCGTACTAGTGCTTTTTCCGTCACATGCTATTGTATCGTACACCCTACGCGAAGCTTTCTCGTGGTTGCCCCGGTCAGAAGAAACACGTTCATTGGGTCGGCCAACCCCGCACCAGTCTAACCAATGTAGGTAAGCGCATATGACAACATGTGATACGGCATCGCTGTCAGCGGTATCACTAAGGTTCGACCTCGTCCGCTAAGACTTACTAACACCAAAATTATCTATAAGAGTCGATGGGTCGAGTAACGAATATCACCGAGCAGTTCTAATTTAAGAGCCTGACACTTTAAGGAAGCCGATATCAACTTCGTACCGACAACAAAGTAAGAAATTAGAGTATTGGGACGTTGAAAGGGCGAAAGAATACAATAATCGTGCTCTGTAGTCTCTAGCTGCTAGGCGGATACCCAGATAATACGTTCATGGCACAGAAAGTTAGTTGGTTTAGGGGATCA